TTTTTTTTTTTTTTTTTTTACTCTGGACAACAGTGTGGGAAGGGAGAGGGGGTCCCCATCAAGGGGGCTTGAGGTAGGAGTGCATTCGGGCTCTGTGGGGAAAGGGGGCTGAGGCCACCGCCCCACTGCCCCCAGGACATTCATTCCGGCTGAGGTAGGTGCTGAGAGCCAAAACAGCAAAAATCCATCCTGAGAAAACAAGGTCGGTGGAGGGTGACAGTGTCAGGGCCCAGCTACAGCAGGGTCATCTTTTGGAGTCGAATTCACCTTCCTGTATCTCTCTCCCTTTTGTTTTTTTTTGATTTTAAGTTTTGCTTTTTAAAGGAAGATGTTAGTTCAGTTCCAAGTCATGTGGGTGCCAGGCAGAGGCGAGGGGGCGTCAGCCCAGGGAGGGAACGGGCTCCTGCAGGAACTGCTCCAGCTCCTGACGGGTGTTGCGAGGGGGGGTCCCTGCCAAGGCTGCCTTGGGTTTTGACAACCCAAGAGGCAGTCAGGACAGAAATGCTGGGGAGCCCCCAGGACCATCCAAATCCCACACGACAGTAGAAATCTTGCTTTTGACCTGAGAATGGGCCCCCTCTCCGGCCACCCTCTGGAGCCTGCCAGACACTGGCTACTGTTCAGAGTGAGCTGGCTGGGTAACCCGGGCCTCTGCAGGCCTGGCAGTCTGGCCTTCACTGAGGAGGCCGGGGCCTCTATTTGGGGGTGGTGGGGCAGCCGCCAGGCCTGCGCAGGGGGCCGTGGCCTCCGCTGTCTTCCCCTCCATCAGGCCGCACCCCCGAAGTGGCAGCGTGGAGAGCTGGGTCTCCTCACACGGGGCAGGGGCTGCAGGATCCTGCTGGGGAAAGAGCCCGTCACACAGGTGTGAGCTTGAGGGCCAGGGCGCCAGGCTCCAGCTCAACCCCACTTGGGGCTTAGGGTCTCCAGGTCTCCCTGCCTGACTCAGGGGCACAGAGAGAAGACCTGCAGCTTGACTAAGGCCAATGATTGAGGCCCGTGGCCAAGGTGAAGGGGTGCAGGATCTGAGGGTGACAGTGTCAGAGCCTGAGGCGGGGGCTTGTTCAAGACATGGACACTCACTGTGGGTCTGGGGTCTGGCTGCCCTGCTGCCCCGGCCGGGGGGAACAGCTGCTCCAGCTCCTTCATATCCACATGTTTCTCATCTCGGCCCAGCTGGCCCCGCTCTCCCCGTCTCGCCCCATTTAGGGCCAGAATGCCAGGGTCCCTTTGGTTCCGGGGACCCTGAGGAGGGGACAGCTGGTTTTCCACATCCTTACACAAGAGGACCCTAGGGGTGAGCCAAGAGTTGAGGGGAGGGAGAGAGACGAGAGCCAGAGGCAGTGAGCCCACACTCACCTTCTCTAGGCCTAGTCCGCCACACACCAGCCCAGCCCCTCTCCCTGGCCCAGGACCCACCTGCCCCTTTGGCCGAACAGGAGGAAGAGGACACAGAAGATGATGCAGGTGACCCCGATGTGGATGCCGATGACGATGCCTGTGGTGGACGTCTGGTTGGCGGCCTCCTCCTTCCGGCAGTCACATGGTGGGCTCAAGGCTGGGGACAGGGATGGGTCGGAGGCTTTGGCGCTCCAGGTCTGAAGCACTCGTAAACACCCAGCCTCTGGGGGCTCCTCTTCCTTCAGCTGCTCCCACCCCCAAGTGGGAGTGGGAATACCCTTTGACTTTGCCTACAGGACTCCAGCCCAATCTTTTTGGTTCTTTTTACCAGATACTAGGAATAGCATGGACCATTTCATCCTTGCCACAGCTTTGTAAAGTAGGTACTATTATCTCTGTATGATAGAGAAAACTGGGATCAGAGAGGTTAAATAACTTGACCAAGGTCACACAGCCAGCATGTGCATGGCCAAGCTTCAAACTGCAGTCTAAGCCTGTGCTCTCAAGCGTGGCACATGCTATCTCACCCCGTTACTTTCCCTGCTTCCCACCCACTCAGCCCTGCACTCCATCCCCAGCCCTCACCTGTCCTCTCAGATGCTCCCCTCAAAGACACAAAGCGGACTGTGGCGTTGCCGTCTCCATGCTGGTTGTAGGCGAGCAGCTTCACCTCGTACACTGCAGTGGGGTCTGGGGGAAGGCAGGGCGGCTGAGTGACTGCTCCTGCCCCACCACGTGCTCTGTCCTAGCCGGGAAAGGGAGGTGATCCCTGTACACCACCTCCTGGCCCTCAGCGCCGCACCCTGCCCAGCCCACTAGGCCCCGGGTTGTGTCTGCCTCACCGAGCTGGCTGAGGTTGTAGGAGGAGACAGTTCCAGGCAGCAGGATGGGGCCGGTGAAGGAGGTCTTGCTTGCTGGGCGGTAAAACAGCTTGAAGCCGCCCTCGTGCTGGGCCAGCCGGGGCCAAGGCTCCCACAGCAGCTGCAGGGAGGAGCTGCCCAGGACCCGCACTGACAGTGGGGGTGGGGCAGGGGCTGCACGTACAGAAAGAGGCCATGATGTGAGGACCCAGCAGAAGCTCTACCTTTCTACTTTCCACCTGTGACCCCGCCTGACAGCCCTCTGGCCTCTGACCCAGGGCACGTGCTTACGAAAGCAGCACCTTCCTATGAATTAGAAAAAGAAGCCCTTTCCTCCAAGTAGACTCAGCCCTGACAGGCTCAGGGCCGGGCACCCAGCACAGTGCACAACCTGAACAAGTGTGCATGGTGGTTCTGCTCTGATACCCTGAGTGCCTGTGGGTTTGTGCTCCACACCCAGGCCTCACCTTCACCCAGGGTGCTGGCTAGGGTGGGCACAGAGGCTGAGCTGGCCCCCCTTGGTGTGTAGGCCTTGATGTAGAAACTGTAGGCCGTGGAGGGCTCCAGGTCGCTGACCAGGTGCTGAAAGGTGCTCTTGCTGACTGCTTCCTGATACTCCAGCTCCGGTGGGTCTGGAGAGGCACAGGGTGGGCAGGGGAGTGTGAAGGACTGGGGGAGTCCTGCCGGCATTGGTGAAATGAGGGCAGCCAGGGTGCCCAGGCGGGACAGCGGGGAGAAGGAAAAGAAGGCATCGGGTCAGGACGTGCAGGATTGGAAGGGATGAGAAATAGTGAATTAGAGGATGGGGGAGCAGAGCTGGCCGCGCACCAGCAGCCTTCCTGATGTGCAGGACGTAGCCGATGATCTCCTTGGTGTTGGCCAGCGGCTCACTCCAGGACACACGCACCTCAGTGGAAGACACAGAAACCGCCCGCACATTGCGGGGAGGCCCAGGGAGCCCCTCAGCCCACAGTACGGTCAGCCTGGCACTGGCCTGTGATGAGCCCGCACTATTCTCAGCCACACACTGGTAGATGGCCTCGTCTTCAGGACCGATTCCAGAAATGGTCAGTGTGCTGCAGGGGAGAGAGAGAGCCTCAGGTTCCCTCCTTCTCCCTGGAGGTTGACCAAATCTCCCCATTTGAGAGATGGAGAAACTGAGTCTTTCCAGGAGACTAATGACTTGTGTGAAGTCTCCCAGCAAGTTGGTGGTGGAACTGGGACTCCAACCCAATCTCCAGACTCCCAATTCTGTGCTCTCCCTGGCAGGAGGTGCACAGTCTACTCAGGCCACTCACTCCAGGACCCCCTTTCCTTGCTCTCCCAGGTCCTCACCCCAGCACACACCACATACGTACCTGTTGTTGTTCTTGAGCCTGACGTGGCCTCCCGGCCCCAGCACCTGTCCGTTCTTCAGCCATGTGACGTGAGGCGGCGGCTCACCCTGGGCTTGGCAGGTGAACATGGCTGTGGTCCCAGCTGGCCTGGAGATGGACTGGGGATGCTGCACAAACTCAGCTGGGGCTGCGAGTGGGGTCAGGATGGTGGGGCGGGTACGGACAGAGACAGCTGTGAGTGACGGCATGAGGAAGGGAACAGGGGATGGGACCAGAGATACACAGGGCGAGAGGTGGGCTCCAAACACACATCTGCCCCCTGAAGACTCCTCCAGGTGGGGCCCAGCCTCTACTCCTGCCCAGCTCAGGAGATGGGCCACCTCCCTCTTCCCTCCGCTCCAGGCAGACCCAAGAGGACTCCTTTATAATGACTATTTAAAAGACTGACATTTGTATCCGAAAGCAATCAAGCTGAGCTCCCTGTTCAGGAAATTGTTAAATAAATAAATGTGCTAATAGGTTTGGCTGCACCTCCAGAAAGCAGTAATGACGGGGAGATGTATGAGCCTCAGTACCGGGGGCCCCCTCGCCCCCACATTCAATTCCGCTCTCCTCCAATCCCAGGCCTCAAGCCTCTATTAAAACCGGGAAATGAAATGCTCCATCACTTTCATTTGGACAGATTAACGGCACATGGAATGCTAAACAAACGGGCATTTAAGTTCCTAATTCTCCCACTTCCCACCCTTTCCCCCGCCTCATCTCCGGCAGGGAACAACCACAGGAAAACCCTGAAAATGTTCATCCAAGCCCAGTGCATGGGGACAGTTAAGCCCTATGGCCAGAGGCCAACTAAAGGACCTGGTAGTGGCAGGGCCCCGCCCTGCAGGAGGGGAGGCAGCTTTGAGTGCACAGTGAGGCTGCTGGCGACAGCGTGAAAATGACAAGCAGGCCAGGAGCGCACAGGCAGGCAGGTGTGAGCATGGACGTGCCACACGTGTGAATGAAAACAGCACGTGGGGAGACACGTGTGAGCGACACAGGTGGGGACACCAGCTGAGATGAGAAAGTGGAAATGACTCCCCGGGTATCGGGGCGCTGACGGCCCCCGGAGGGCACGCAGGGGCTGCTGCATGACCAAGACGGTCCACCCATTCCCAACGCAAGCATTCGACTGGAGAACACACCACCTTTGTCCTGGCCTGGGGGCTGGTGAGGGGCGAGGGGCAGGGCGAGGGCGAGTCCAGGAGACTGGGGTGAGACAGGGCCCTGGGGTTGGGCATAGGCCGGGAGGAAGGGACTATGCGGAGATCCCTGCCCTCCTCCCCAGGGTTGGCTGATCCATACCTTGCACCACCAGCCGGCCCTGTGCTGTTCTCCTCACCCGGGTGCCAGGTCTGTTGGCCGCACAGACGTAGACGCCGGAGTGCTGGACCGTCACGTCTGAGATGATGAGGTTTCCCGTGCCCAGCACCTGGATGCCCTCCACCCCAATAGGGCGACCATCTGGGGAGGAAGGGGAGGGGGGATGGCTGAGGGTCAGATATAGATGTGTAAGAAGGAAAGTAAAGGAAACTTCCAGAGGGCTCGCCCTTCCTCCCGTCTTCCAAGGAGCCTCAGTCTTTGACTCTGCCCCTTCCCTCCCAGGCACCTTAACTGGAAAAGGCAGCAGAGTGCAGCACAGAACCCTCGCGCCTAGCAGCGGACACCCTGTCCTGAACCTAGCATCACCACTGACTCACGGGCCACCTGCAAGGCCCTTCCCTTCTGTTTCACAATCTGTAAAGTAAGGAGTCTGGATTAGATTGACGTTTCCCAGCCTGGTTTTTCTCTCTGGATCCACGGTCACATATCCATTCTATGCCTGGATGGTAAGTCACATCACGGTACCCCTGTGACCTGGTACAGGGGGGACCCAGTTACCTTTGTTTCCCAAACTTGTTAGACCAGCAGGCCATTCCTTCTCGCTTGACAGATCATGCTTTGGGAAATGTTGGACCAGATGGTCCCTGGAGTGCCTAGAGGTTCCTCCTAATGGTGAGGCCACTCTTCCCAGTCTCTCCCAGGGACCCGAGCCCTTCCCCCACCCCTACCAGGATCAGATTAGCACAGTCAGAATACAAGGAGACAGCTCCCCATTCAGGCCCTGAAGTGGTGAAATCTACTCCATTATCCTGCCTGCTGCCCCCTCCCTCCCCATCACTCAGCTGCTACAATGTGGCACAGTCTCCCTGTGAATGCGGCCCCACCCCACCCCCTCCAGAGTTTCCTTCCCGAGTGACCTTTCCGCTCAGACAATGTGGGCCCATCTGCACCCTTTCATTTCTCTCCTTCAGCTGCCTGGGGATTTAGGCTGGGGGACTTAGGGGGCCAGGCTAGAGATTGGGGGGCCCAGAGTGAGGATCTAACAACTGGCTGGGATTTTGAGGGGCTTGCGACTGTACAGCTGAGGAACACGGCCAGGGTATAGAGGACAGGAATGAGCAGGAGGGGACAGATTCTGGGGTGCTGAGGGCTGCTGAAGGGTGCTGGGGTCCCCAAGGCCAGGGTGAGGGGAGGACTGCCAGGATTGGACAAGGTAACCCAGGGAGCTAAGCCATCCCTGCAGGGGGAGGGAGAATGGGGTGGACAAGGGGGCCTCCCTGGTCCTTCCAAGAGAGGGAAACTTACCCTCTTCCCAGATCACAGGGATAGAATGGACCCCCAGAGAGAACAAACAGGATTCCAAATTCCCCGGGAGCTGGGTGAGGAGTTTGAGACCGGCCCTCCCAGGGGGTGGGACAGGCCGGGAGGGGCAGGGGCTGTGGGGATGAGGCTCACCCAGGCGGCTCCAGGACACAATGGGGCGCGGGTTGCCCGTGGCGACACACTCAAGCACCGCGGTCTGGTGCACCGTCAGGGTGAGGTTCTCAGGCCCCACGAGGATGGCCGGCTCCTTGTAGGCCCCAGAGCCCGAGCCTGGGAGGAAGATGCCACATTTCCTCACTTCAGCTGGGTACTTTCCTGCTTCTTCACCCCACCCACAGCCCAGGACACAGCGGGTGCGAAACAAACACCAGCCCAGAAACCAGGTCGTGTGGGTAGAGAGATACCAGGGGACCAGGACATTCTGGACATCCGTCCCTCTCCTGCTGGCCCTGCAGGACTGCCAGCAATGGGGGAGTCCTGGATATCAGCATAGGATGGGATTCCCAGGGGGAAATGAGCCAGAGATCCAGCCTCAGATTCCTGTGCACCCTCACGCCAGGCAGCACAGAGCCTGGCACTCTGCACACATGTGGCCGAGAAGGCTGCAGAGGCCAGTTGAAGTGGGTTGATCTAAGGTTGGGGGAAAGGGCCGAAGGACCCTCACCTGACACGGTGAGCCTGGCCCCGTGGCTGATCCGGATACTGGCGATGTTTGAGGCCACGCAGTGGAAAATGCCACTGTCCTCAGCTCGAAGTCCTGTGATCTGCAGGACCCCCTTGGGCAGCAGTGTGTACCTGTTGAGGGGAGGGACACAGTTGGCCACCAGCACAGCCATTGATATAATCAGCCACAAAGACTCTGGGCATCCAAGACACAGCCCAGGCCCCAAGCACTGCACCATCCCAACATCATCAGACTCACACTGGGATTTTCGAAGGTGGATATACCCTCAATTCCAGCCTTGACAACGATCGCACACAATCCTCAGACACATCCATGAGCCTAGAATCTGGGCCCAGCAAATCATGTGGATACGCAGTCTAAACTGCGGTTGCAGAAACACCACTGTCTCAGGCACCTGTGGGCATCAACTGCAGCTCCCAGAGCCGCGGGCAGTCCTTCTCTAAGGCCAGAGTCACTGGCCAACTCTTTGTCCTCCCTCTGTCTTTCCCACACGTGACTCACCTCTCATTGTCCGTGTCAATTGGGACTCTGTTCTTCTCCCACGTGATCAGAGGTTCGGGAAGCCCATGGATTTGGCACTGGAAGCGGGCCACACCACCCTCCTCGCCCACGGTGGCCTGCGGATGCACGTGGAAGTCCGACATGGCTAGGGGAAGAGAAGTGTATGAGTGCGGCGCGCTGCTGAGGGCAGAGGGGAGGGGAGAATGGGCTGCAGTGGAGTCACAGGCACGGAGACCTGGAGCCCACTCCATCGAGGGGCAGGAGTTTTCCTGCAAGAGCGATAGCTTGGGGGGCCCATCAGCACTTACTCCAGCCTCCAATAGCTAGGAAACATCTCCCCTAACAGGTGGTATAGGCTGGGCTGGGATACTTTGTAAAAAGTCTGGACAAACTTCTGGGTAACAAACCTCTAATAAGGAAATCCTGGGCTGTTCGGACTTCCCTTGGAGACCTTGGTCCCCCAAAACTGACCCATGAAGGCCAATCAAAGCCCTGCTCCTAAGCCCCACACCCCACTTTTTCAGCTTTCAGATTCATTTTCATAAACTCTCCCTAAGGCAGGCAAGGGCTCAGATCCTCAGTGCTTCACATTTTATAGAATTGGAAGCTGAGGCTCAGACAAGGGAAGCAACTGGTCCAATGTTGCCCAGCAAGGACCCTGGTCATCAGGCCCTGGTTACCAGGCCCGGGAGCTTTTTTTTGGTCCCTCCTTCTCCTCCTACTCCTCCCACCCCCCAGTTCATCTGCAGTCTCTTGATGCACCCCAAGAGGGTGTTGCATCCATCCAAGGTGACAAGCCTCTCAGAAGACTGTCAGACCTACCAATCTACATTTCAATGTGTCATAAATATTCAGGGACCCCTCCCCACCTTTTGGGGATCTGAACTAACCGCTTGAACTCTGGTCTGCAGAGATCATCAGTGCAGAGGGGCTGCGGTGCACCCTCCCCTCCCAGTGACAGGCTGGTTAAGTGTTCCTGCCCACCCCCGTTTCCACCCATGCCCAGACCCCACCCTGTAATGCCTGGGGAAGGAGCCCCTCCCACTCGGGTTCCCAGCTTCAGCACCAGGGCTGCGATTTCATTAAAATCCACTTTGCTTCAAGTGCGGGAAGGCGGTACACCATCTGTCCAGGCAGGCAGCCCCTCGTCTCAGGCACTCCATCAACTGGGACAGTTGCTCCCCTCCCAGAGGAAGCCCTCCCCCACAGCAGCAGGGACACTGGAGCTCATCCTGGCTCCTGCTCCTGGCTCCCTGGTGGGGGAAGGCCACCCTCCCCGTGGCCCCCATGCCCCATCTCAGGCCCCCTCAATCCACCAGCCTGATCTGGCCTCCAGGGTGGCCCAAGAGGCGAGCCTTTGTGCCCTTCCACCCAGAGTCTCTGGGGGCTGGCTCCTTTGTGGCGTGTTCTCCATCTCATTTGCATGTGGTTCATTAAATATAAACATGCATAAAAAATCCCCCGCCCTGCTTCCTCGTCTTTGAGGGCCTCCTGGGAGTGTGGCTGATGGGTATGTGCGCCTCTTTGTACATGTGTGCAGGGCTGTGTCTCCGTGTATGTGGTCTGAGTGTCCGCGTCTGGACAGGAATCGGTCCACTGCTGCGGCGGGTGTGTACCTCTGGTTCGGTGCAGGTAATCAATCACACACATCCCCACGTAGGTGCAGCCCTTATAAACAGTACCTTGGGGCCCTGGGGGTGGGAGGTGGGGGGTAAGTGTCCCAGCTGGTGCTCCCATCAGGCTTGGTGAGAGGATCCCCAGGGAGCACTGGGAGGTCGGCCTTCCTGGTCTCAGGCCAAAGGCTGTGTTTGGCCAAGGGAGGTCAGCCCAGGGTCTTGGGGGAGGGGGCCGAGGTGCTGCTGGAGCCCCTCTACTGCCCTCCAGGAAGGCAACTGGGTGCCATGAGCCCAGGGAGTGGAGAGGGCATCCAGGCTCCCAGGTCAGCTGTCTACGTCCCCCAGGCCCTGCTCCTTCGAAGATGGGGAGCTGCCTGCCTCCTCTTCACTCCAGCTGGAGAGGCGCTCGCAGTCCCCCAGGGACCTGGGGTGGGGACTAATGGCTCTGCTGACTACAGATGCCTCCTCATTAAGGAACGAATCCTTTTGTGCTTCTAGCCCCATTCTGGGCTCCCTGGAGGCACCTAGTGCTAGAAGCTGGCCTGAGGAAATATACAAGGGCAAGGGCTGCTTCTTATCAGGGTGCTGGGGATGGAGAAAGTCTGGCTTCCACTGCCTGGCTCCCTCCTCCTCCCCCCAGCACTAAGCAGCCACAGCACAGTTGGACATGGCGCTAGAGCTGGAAGGGTCACAGGTATGGAGCCAGTCTGATATCCTTCACTGTGTACAGTGCGACTGACTCCTACGGGTCCCCTGAGGCCGCCTGGATGCAGTTAAGTCCACCTCCTGCTCACATTTCCCATCCATCAGAGTAGCACCTTGCTGTACCTTTCCATCAGCTTTACTTGGTTACAGTTCTGCTAAACATTTAATTTGAAGGGTAGCTTTAGGCTGGGCGCAGTGGCTCAAGCCTGCAATCCCAGCACTTTGGGAGGCCGAGACGGGCGGATCACGAGGTCAGGAGATCAAGACCATCCTGGCTAACACTGTCTCTACTAAAAAGTGAAACCTGTCTCTACTAAAAAGTACAAAAAACTAGCCGGGCGAGGTGGCAGGTGCCTGCAGTCCCAGCTACTCGGGAGGCTGAGGCAGTAAACCTCTCCGCTGTAAACCCGGGAGGCGGAGCTTGCAGTGAGCTGAGATCTGGCCACTGCACTCCAGCCTGGGCGACAGAGTGAGACTCTGTCTCAAAAAAAAAAAAAAAAAAAAAAAAAAAGAAGGGTAGTTTTGCCTTTAAGAGTAATTGAAAACCATGAATCTGAAGCTAATCTCTTTATTTTAGGAAGGGGAAACTGAGGCCTAGGCTCTCTGCTGGGATGTCCCTTAGTTCTGCAACAAGTTTCTCACTCTCCAAAGCCAGGTAACCGCAGAGTGGACTGCATGTTGGACTAGCTTCTTCTCACTGTGTGGAGGAAAAGTAATGAGCTCTAGGGAAGGCTCTTTACCCCCACCCCTGGGAGTCCAGCTGGCTGCATAGGTGTGGTCCAGGAAGGGCAGGTGCAAGAGGAGGGTGTGGTCCTCTTCATCTGAGGCTCCTCCTTCCCTCCCTTCCTTATACCCTCTCTCAGCTTTTTGGTCAGTCCTGCATATTCCTTAGGCGTCCCAAGATTTCTGTGAGACCCTGGGCAGGCAGCGTCCTCTCAGCCACAAATGAAGGGAGTGGACGAGCCACTCTTCAGGGCCCCTCCAGCCCTGCCTCCCCATCTGTCTTCATGAACAGGATCCACAATCTCTGGGCCAGCAAACTCAGCTTAGCTAGAGTCTCCTAAAATCTTCCACGTACATCTGGATCATAAGCAATAGTATTTTTTTCTGTTTTTTCCTTTTGAGACAGGATCTCACACTGTCATCCAAGCTGATGTGCAGTGGTGTGATCCTAGCTCACTGCAGCCTTGACCTCCCAGGCTCAGGGAATCCTCCCACCTCAGCCTCCTGAGGAGCTGGGACCACAGGTGCATACCACCACGCCCAGTTAATTAAAAAAATTTTTTTTTTCTTTTTGAGATGGAATCTTGCTCTGTTACCCAGGCTGGAGTGCAATGGCATGATCTTGGCTCACCGCAAACTCCGCCTCCCAGGCTCAAGCGACTCTCCTGCCTCAGCCTTCCGAGTAGCTGGTACTACAGGTGCACACCATCATGCCCAGCTAATTTTTGTATTTTTAATAGAGACGGGCTTTCACCACGTTAGTCAGGCTGGTCTCAAACTCCTGACCTCGTGATCCGCCCGCCTTGGCCTCCCAAAGTGCTGGGATTTCAGGCATGAGCTACTGCGCCTGGCCAATTTTTGTATTTCTTATAGAGATAGGGTCTCCCTATGTTGCCTGGGCTGGCACACAATTTTTTTCTTTAGGAAGTTTGAGGAAAAGGGATGTTGGGGCCACTTCAGCCCCCTCAGGGTGGAACATGTTTGATTCACAAGTGTGTTTATGCCCTGGCTTGTGCCAGGAAGCCACAGAGCTGGGTGGACTGTCCCTCATTATGTCTCTCTAGGGAGAGGGTCCCTGGGCAAACATGAGGAAGTAGGGCTGAGGGCTGGACGTCAGGGCACCCTGAGATCTGAACGAGTCACCCTGCAGGCCACTGTGTTGCTGATGACAGTACAGACCAGCTAGTGTGTTAGCACTGAGTATTTATGTCTGGTGCTGGTGGTATTGTGTCTGTGGCTGGTACACCTGACAGTGGTGCTGTCACTTTGGCTCTTGATGCTTTACACTCCTGTGGATATCTGTTGGCCTGGTGGGGACAGTTTTGGGTCTCTCACTTCAAGCTGGGTGATGGGAGGTGGGTGATGGGCAATGGTCTTCCAGGTGTGAGGGCCAGAGAAAGCGACAGGGAGGACAAAGTCCTGCTTGGCAGTAGTGGGGAGAAAGGAAGAAGGCACCTTTGTCTACAGCGATCTGGGAAGGAATCTCCCAGCCCCGCCCTGCCCCCACCAGAGGTGCGACCAGGTTGTGGGGAGAGACAGAGGGCAGAAAGTGAGCTTAGCAATTCACAGGACTGGAAGGGAACAGAACACAGGCAGGAAACAGTTCCTGGACACCTCTATAAATCACCCAAGGGGAGGGGCCTCCTGAGAGCCAGATCTAGGGCCGCTCAGGGAGGGGAGGCGGACTCTCTTCCTGGTCCAGGACCTCTGGTGAGGTCAGGCCTGGATCTGATTAGACAGGCTCCAGGGGGAGGTGGGGGGCAGCAAAGGGTCGAGGTAGAGTGCTGGGAAGGAAGCTCAGGCCCCCCACCCTTTGGCCATAGCCAGACTCCTATCCGGTGTGTGATGGTAAAAAAATCTGGGGGCATGTTTGGATGGAGAATCCAAAACATAACCTTTGCAAAAGCGAGGGGCCCTGGGGCTCTGAGGTGCTGGCTGTCCCCACCTCATACAGCCATTCAAGAGGGGCAGTTGTGAACCACAGACTCTTCTGAAGGCCACCAAGGCCTATTCCCTCCTTGTATCCATCCCTGCCAAAGACCAGGGACACGCAGCCTTCTGGATGTCCAGCCCCTCCTCAGACAGGTGGGATGATGATCAT